TTTTTTAAATTTTTTAAAATATTTTATTTATTTCTAGGAGAGAGAGACAGCGTGAGCAGGGGAGGGTCAGAGAGGGAGTCACAGACTCTGAAACAGGGTCCAGGCTCTGAGCTGGCAATCAGCACAGAGCCCGACGCGGGGCTCAAACCCACGAACCGCGAGATCATGACCTAAGCGAAAGTCGGACGCTTAACCGACTAAGCCACCCAGGCGCCCCAAAATTCACGTTTAAATATACAGTTCAGTGCTTTACCAAGTTCTGTAACCATCTTCCTAATCCAGTTTTAGAGTATTTCCATCGCTGCAGGAGAATTCTTTGTGCCCGTTTGCCATAGCTCCAACCCCTCCCCCTAGTCCTAGGCAACCACTAATCTACTTTCTGCCTCTAGATTTGCCTTTTATGAATACTTCACATAAATAAAATCATATGCTATATGGTCTTCTGTGTCTGGCTTTCATGTAGCATAATGTTTTTGAAGTTCATGGTTGTGCCATGTATCAATAATTCACTCCTTTTTATTGTTGAATAATATATGTATATACCACATTATGATCATTCACTGTGGATGGACATTTGGGGTATTTCTAGTTTTAGATTCTCATGAATAATGGTGGTGTGAACAATCATGTACATGCCCTTGTGTTAGACATATTTTCATTTATCATGGGTAGATTCCTAGGAATAGAATTGCCGGGTTATATGGTAAATTTCTGCTTAACTCTTTAAAGAAACTGCCCAACTATTTTCCAAAGGGACTGAACCATTTTATAGTCCCACCAGCAATTCCAGGAGACTGTTCCATGTACACCCGAAAAGCACATATATGTATGTTGCTCGTCTTGGTAGGAGTGTTTTGTAAATGCTAGCTAGCTCAGTTTTTTAATACCGTTGTGTAAGTTTTCTATATTCTTGCTGATTTTCTTTCTAGTTCTATCTGTTATCAAGAGTGAGTGTTGAACTCTCTGTTAGTGTTGAATTATCTATTTCATCAGTTCCTTGTCTTTAGTTTTAGCAGTTTGATTATGATGCGTCTGCATGCGGATTTCTTTTGTGTTATGTTTAGTGTCCTCTCAGTTTCTTGGCACTTCTCAGCTATTTTTTTCTTCAGATATTTTTCCAGCATCACACTCATTTTCTTCTCTGTGTTGGATTCCAATTATACAATTGTTAGATCCTTTATTGTTAATCTGCTGGTCCTTGAGGTTTTCTCCCCCTGCCCCCGCCATCTTTTTTCTTTCTGTTATTTAGATTGGCTAATTTGATTACCTGTTTCAAGTTCACTCCCTCCTCCATTCTGCTATTGTGCTCTCCCGGTGAATTTTTTATTTTGGTTTTTAAATTTTTCATTTCTAAAGTTTCAGTTTGATTAGCCTTTATATCTTCTCTTTACTTTGCCAGTACATTGTATTTTAACTTGCTTTCACAAGTGTTCAAGTTCAGTGATTGCTTATTTGACCATTTTGTATAATAGCTGCTTTAACATACTTGTTAGATAATTTCAACGTTTGTTACATCTCTGTTAGCCTCTATTGATTTTCCCATGTGAGTTGGCATTTTTGTGGTTCTTGATATAGCACGTAATTTGGGGTTTTATCCTGGATATTGTGAATATTACATTATTAAATTCTGGATCTTGTTTCAGTCCAGTGGAGAATGTTGATGTATTTGTTTCAGCAGTCAGTTGGCCTGGTTAGGTTCAGAGTGCAAATTCCAACTCCCTTCCTGTGGACTGTAGTTCCAGTGTTACTCTTCAGGTCCTTTGCAGTGCTATTCATATCTGTCCCTTGTGTGACACCCACTGGTCAATCCGGGACCTGGGTGTTCCTGTTAGCTCACTTCTCAAAGTCTTTGACGTGATAATTAGGATCAAGTCCACAGATGCATGGGTGGGAGGTGATCCAAGTCGATCATAAGCAGCTTTATGGGTTTCCTTTCCTGAGCTCTTCTCTTTTGTTATTTTCCTGGTACTTTCTCGTTTCCTAGAGCTTTCCTTTTTGGTCCTCCAGCCAGAAACCACCTACTTTCACGATGCACAGCCTCTGGAACACAAGGGGCAGGCAGACAGAGAAAGAGAGAAAGTGAGCGAAAAAAGCGGGATTTGGTTTGCTCTTTTGGAGCTATAACTCTACTGAACAGAATGTTAAGTTTCCTTTCCCTTGAGAGTTTTAAGTCATAGGCCTTCCTTTGCCAGTTAATTTCATTGCTGCAGCCTCTACCATGGGATTTTCTGGGCATGGAGAAGAGAGGAAAGGGAGAAAAAAACCCAGGGGATTTCCCCCTAGTTTCTCTGAGTTACAGTAGTTCCTGTTTCCCAAAAAAAAAACAAAAAAAAAAAACAAACCCACCTTGCACCAGAACATGCACTCTAACCACAGTGTTCACTCACTTTCAGGTTTTGTTGTGTTGGGCTCTGGCCAGAGAGTACTGGAGGTTAAAAAAGTGGTAAAGTCATCACCGTTTCAGTTGTACTTGGCATTCAGGTATTCTTCCCTGATCTACCTGCTGATACATACTTTAAGAGTTCTCTAATCGCTGCCATGTTCTGTATAAATTTTATCATTGCATTCAGTGGACAGAAAGTTGAGTATGTTTATTCCATCTTACCCGGAGTCAGAAGTCTTAACTGATTTTGTAAGTGATGTTTCGGATTGGTTCCCTTCTTGCCCAAAGTATTTATATCTCTGAAATAATAGTTTTAGAGGTACAGCTTTTGCTGTAATTTAGTAGATACGTTTCTGAGGGTGCGCAGAGGAGCTGTGTTATTGGGCCGACTACAGAAGGATCTCCTGAAAAACAAAGCCACTTTTCTGAAGGCCTGTGTGGTAATCTCACCCGGAAGCACAGTTCTTTGTCCTCTCGTAGCATATCATTGACCTCGTTGTTTTCCTTGGCCCTGCCTCTCTGTCACATTCTCTTACTTCTGTCCTGCTGTTTTCCAGTGACCTTTGCCCCCAGGATTTCATTCATCAAGCCCTTTCTCCTCCTGCCTCCCCTGTTTGTCTCTGGTTTCCCCCGACCACACTCCTTCCTAACATTACAGTCTTGCATTTTATCACCAGACACCGTCTTCCAAGGATAAATACACTTCCCTGTGGCATCTTTGGACGTAAGTGCTTGCACTTGACGGATGGAGAAGCAAGGCTGGGGAGGTGGGGGTGAGTAGTCCGCTTTTGCTCATAGATTAGGGCCAGACCGGAGTCTCCGCAGGGCATTGTGGTGGTCTAGCCAGCTGCTTTTCCAGCATATTCGGGATTTTTCTTCCATGCCATATTTCTGAGGGTAGTGGGGCCAGGCCACATGAAGCTCCAGCACAGCCAGGGATATGGGTCTAGGAAAAAGATAGTATTCAAACCGCACTAACTCATTAATTTGGGAATGTATCAGAACCTTTTGAGCTGTGTTTTGGTTTGGCTTGGTTTGTTGTTAATCTTGAAATATAATAGGAAGAAACTACTAAATAATAGTGCTTTTATGAAAGTCTTTCCTCTTGTTAGTTACGTGGTACCAAATCGCTGCAGGTAGGGAATCCTAAATAGGCAAAAATACATGGACAGAAAGCACATGTTTTTTCATGCTGCAGCATGCTTTCAGTATTTTTATGGTGGAAACACATTCCATAAAAGCCATAGCGGGCTTCCCTGGTGTCTATTCAGACCCATCAGGTTCCAGGCATGTAAAGGCTGCTCAGTTCAACCTTCTGGGCATATATTCACCGTGTACGGATAAAAACTTGTTGGTACAAAAGATACAGTACCTTTTGGAAAGAAAATCCTCAGGTGCATTCTGGTGTCTCATTCATTACCACTGAAATGTCTTACCTTGGCCCGGGAGCATGGCAGCCACAGGGAGCTGCCTGAGTCCTGACCCCACAGTTTTTGTTGCCAGACTGACGCTCCTCGCACAAGGACAGGTCAGTGATACTCGTTTTCCACTGCTAAGACTTTTCTGTTTTCTTCTGGCAGTAGCCAAAGCAGCTAGTTAAAAAGAAAACGCTCGTTATTCTTACTCTTTGGTTTTACCAGTAATATTCATTTCAGTGGGACGTTTCTGTGGCGGTCTCCTTAGTTGTGGGAGCAATTTGATTTTGGTACTGGGAGAACAACTGATCAGTCACAGAAGCAAGCAGTGATTAAATAGGCAACAGTTCAACAAATAATACGGATTTAATTATGTGCGTAAGGTTGACCAGGCATGAGAGTTAAAGTTAGCTTTATTCAAGGCCAGAATAATTTTTGCAATCCCCTGCCTGTATTAATTTTCAGGCCCAATTAAATGAACTAATCCTTATTGATTGTGAAATATTCCCGAGTAACACCATTAAATGCTCTACTGAATTCAGATTGTTGCATTATATTTTAAAGCTTGTCTTGGGAAAATTTTGCTGCATTTTCCATAGCCTGTGAGCTCTAAACTGGGAGGTTCTGGCCCAAGGTTGATGGAATCTGAGAAGTGGAAGGATCTTGGAGGTCACCAAACTCAGATGCCTTCCCAGTGCAGGAATCCTCTCCACCATACTCTGTCAGGCAGGCCGTTGTCTGACTCTTGATCCCATCCCCCCCTTCCCAGCAAAGAATATGTATCTTTCCTCCATGCGATTTTGAAACGACTCACTCCTCCTTCCGTGATAAGTTGTTCTTTATTCCCCAGCCAAGATCTGCCTTTGCCTTCTAGGAACTCTCACCATGGTACCCAGCTCTCCCCTTCATAGCCACACAGAGCAGATCTCCTTTGTCCAAAATCATCAGAGCCATCTATTTTCCTGCTTGCCGTTCCCCTTTTCACCACCTGTGGTCTTCTCAGGCTAAAACAGTCCTGGTTCTTTCCACAGCTTCTTATTTCAAGGGTTCTGATGCAGTGGAAAAATTCAAACAGTAATATAATGAATACTCAACTTTCCGGCAATCAGAATTATCGATGATTGAGATTTTATATTTTTTTCTTAAATAAAGACATTAAAACATTACAGAAATAATTCTTTCCCTGTGATCATCTCTTCCAGGGCTGCCATCCTCCCTCGTCAGTGTCATGCACATATAGGTATGTATAAACATCGAGATTTGTTTTAGAGCTCGGTTTTAATTTACATAAATGGTGCTATATGATTATGTCTCTGTGTTCACACAGGAAAACGTCTTAGACCTTTTCATTTATTTTGTATTAATCTTTCCATATTACTTGTATATATTTGTATAATCTTTCCATACTGTATATTAGTCATTCTGTGTAACGTAATGTTTCTGTCTGTCTGCCTTCTGGGCATATAGTAGGATTGCAGTTCCTGCCCCGTTTGAAGTTAGGTGTGGCCATGTGACTTGCTTCGGTGAATGAAATGTCAACGAAAGTAACGGGTATACTTCCACATGCAAATTTTAAGAGCCAGTATGAAATTTACTGCATTTCATGCCCCTGGCAAATAGAGATGGGGCCTTTGTCAGCCTGGGCCTGTGAAGAACTATGCTTAATTTTTCTGCCAGCTCACTTTAAACATGTAGCATAAGGAATGAGCAGACTTGGATTGTGTTAAGCCACTCATATTTTATGTTCCTTTTGTTACTTTGCCAAACTTAGCCATCCTGGTTGATGGCCACTCATGTTTTACATTCCTTTTGTTACTTTGCAAATTTAGTCCATCCTGGTTGATGGCTAGACCTGTGTCATTGTTTTTAGCTGCTGCAAAGTGTCCTAGAGCGTGAACGGACCTTATTCTGTCTGGCCACTCTCCTCTCGACTGAAGCCTAAATACTTGCTGAAATTTTCTTTTATCAGTAATTCTATACTGGTGACTGTGTAAGTTTGTGAGCATTTCTCCAGGATATGTATCTAGAAATGGGATTGCTGGGTCACAAGGTATAGATATTTTCAGTTTTACAGGATTCTGTCTTTGCTTTCCGAAATGGCTGTGCCAGTTTACATTCTCACCCTTTCAACTGTCATTTGTGTGACATGATTCCCAAATCTTTTTCTAGGTTCCTGTCTCTGGATTCACTTTTGTTAGTCATGTTTTCTGTAATACTCAGACTGAAACTTGCTTGTTACTTGTTATCCAGCTGAGGTAGATGGTATCTTCCCAAATTTAGCCCAGATTGAGTAGCTGCATCACCCTGTGTGGTATTTGCTGGCATCCTGCATTTAGGAAATAGGGTTTTTAGGGGCGCCTGGGTGGCTCAGTCACTTGAGCATCAGACTCTTGATTTCGGCTCAGGTCACTATCCCAGGGTCATAGGATTGAGCCCCACATCAGGAGCCTGCTTAAGATTCTCTTTCTCTCGGGCTCCCTGGGTGGCTTAGTCAGTTAAGTGTCTAAGTCTTTATTGTGGCTCAGGATCGTATCTCACTGTTCATGGGATCAAGCCCCGCATCAGGCTCTGCATTCACAGCTTAGGATTCTCTCTCTCCCTCTCTCTGCCCCTCTTGCACGCTTGCACGCATGCACTCTCTCAAAAATAAATAAATAAACAAAGATTGTCTTTCTCTCCCCCTCTGCCCTTCCCCCCACTTTCTCTTAAAAAGAGGAAATCATGTTTTTGAAATTGGAGTGGCTTTACATACCTTCTAGTTAAATTTCATCCTGTTTTGTTTTTTTTTTTAAATCCTGTTAGCTTCTGTATCCTCCTCTTTCCTCTAATGAATGTTACCCCTCGTAGATCAGTAAGCATAAGTTCACCTACATTACTGATCAGAGTTTTAATCAGCACAGGGCTAAAGGCATAGGTAGCTCTGTGTAGCACTACAAGACCCCTTTCAGGTTTACTTATCTGCAGCCTTCATTCTTCATCTTACCAACTGGAAAATCCTGGTGGCTTTTGTCAGCTACTTCCATGTATATACTGTACTTAAAATTTTTGTCTCGATAAATCAGTCAAGTGGCTGGAACAGAAAGGAGTCTAGGGTAAGTTGAGTGTGTCGTGATTTTGATGAACCCGGGCTAGCTGGTAGTGGCTATTTCTTTCTCAAATGCTTACCCAACTAATGCTTTATTAATTTGGTCTAGAATTTAGTTTGGAGTGAGGTTCACACTTTTTATTTGTAATGATTATATTCCATGCTCTGAAAATAAGGGAGGTTTTTGTCTGTCCGGTGTGTTGGGAGGTCTGGTTTCTGTAAGTTTTCATAGATGAGAGGAAGCAATTCTGCTGTCATAGCTGCAAATTGTTTTTCAGCCCTGAGAGGGAGAAGAACAAGGCAGTTTTTAGGATTATGATGAGGCAGGATGGTGTCTTTTCCCTCCTGCACCACCAGAACCAAACCTGTTCATAGTTTTGGGTTTTGTTTGTTTTGTTTTGTTTTAAATTTTTTTTTTTAATTTCTGGGGGAGAGAGAGAGAGAGAGACAGCGTGAGCAGGGGAGGGTCGGAGAGAGAGGGAGTCACAGACTGAAACAGGCTCCAGGCTCTGAGCTGGCAGTCAGCACAGAGCCCGAGGCGGGGCTCGAACCCACGAACCGCGAGATCATGACCTAAGCGAAAGTCGGATGCTTAACTGACTAAGCCACCCAGGTGCCCCTAAAAATGTTTTATTTTTGCGAGATAGCACACAAACGGGAGCAGCACAGAGGGGCGGGGGGGAGGGCAGACAGAAGACCCAAAGTGGGCTCTGTGCTAACCGCAGCAAGCCCATGCAGGGCTCGAACTCACAAACTGAGGTCCTGACCTAAAGCCAAAGTCAGATGCTCAACTGGCTGAGCCACCCAGGCACCCCAACGTGTTCATAGTTTAAGGAACGACGAAGACTCCCTAGGCCAGTAGGTCAGGTTAGCCTTGCTGCTGGTCTTTCTGTTGTTCTCTGGGACCAACCGCATGTCTAATTTCAGTTATTTTTGTGTTAGGATTCTTAGTGACATGTTTCAGAATCCCAACTCACAACCTAAGAAACAAAAAGTTCACTGGCAGATGAATAGCCTTTAGGTCTGTCTGGCTGTATCCTCACACTCCTCGTAGCCCTGAATCGCCTTCTCTCACCTTTGCTTTCCTCTGAGTTAGTTTCACTCGCAGGCAGGCTGTCTGCAGCGTACGCAATGCCTCTTCCCCAGTGCTTCTGTCAGAACCCTTGGATGGCTTGTTGATACGGCCTTGGTCATGTGCCTTAGACCCAGAAGGTGTGTATTTGGGAGAGAGGGAGGGAGGGGTAGAGTTGCCCTCACCCAGACCACATGGACTGAGAGCAAGCCCTCATTCATTCCTCCTTCATACATTTAGTGAGTGCCCACTATGTGATAGGTGTCATGTTAGGCTCAGAGGTTATCAGTGTGAGCAACACAGGCATAGTCTCTGCCTTCTTGAAGTGCAGAAGTGTTTTAAAAAAATGGACGTTGATGTGCTGACAGTGATAGAGGAGAAATTACTGGTGCTGGAAAGCAGATGACAGAGTTTCTGACGTGCTCTGAGGCAGGTGAGTGAAGGCTGCCCCAAGGAGGTGTTGTTTGGGTTGAAACCTAATGCAAGGAGGAGTTAGACATGTGAAGTAGGTAGGGTGATAACGAATGATGGTGGGGTAGGGGGATGAACAGTATGCACAGAATCTTGGAAATAGAAGCATATTCCAGGCACTGAAATGAGGCCAGAATTGCTGGATCACAGAGAGTGAAGGGGCAGAGGGGCACAGGTGGGGCTGGAGAAGTAGGTTGCAGGGCAAGGCCACATGGCTTGCAAGAGGCTTGGAAGCCATACAGTTCAAGCAGGGAATCAACGTGATCATAGCCTTGGTCCATGTGGGCACCTCATTTCCTGAGATACAGCTTAGTCTAGTTAATTAACTAGCCAAGATCACCCTCCTGGTTGGGTTTTAAATCTAGACACACCACAGTATCTGTCATGTGTCTAGACCTGGCTCAGTCCCTAGCTCTCCCAGAAAGCAGTCCCATTGCCCCTTTTTGCCACTGGGAGAGTGTAGGTATTTCTTCATTCCTGTTCCCATAGGATCTTGATCCGAGAACTCTCATGATTTTGTTTCCCTCATCAAGGTCTGGACAGGATTTGTTGGTGGCTGCCCAGGCTAATGATTGGCATCTGTGCAAAAAAGTATCCTAGCAGATTTGACATTGAAAGGCCCGCTTACAAGGCTGTCCCTTGGTGGGCATCTGGGAACTTGACTTTCAGGAGTGTTCTTATCATTCCCAGAACTGATTGATAAAGGTGACCCATTGTGCCTGAACTGTTTATACAAACAATGTGATTTCTGCGGAACACCTGCTTCTTAGAGTCTGGAGTTTGGGTATTTGCCAGTCAGAGGGTGCCTATGTGACCAGCCTCCAGTCAAATCCCCGGGCACACTGTGTGGCTCAGTCAGTTAAGCATCCAATTTTGGCTCAGGTCATGATCTCCCGGTTCGTGGGTTCGAGCCCCGCATCAGGCTCTGTGCTGGCAGCCTGCTGTGCTGGAGCCTGCTTCAGATTCTGTGTCTGCCTCTCTCCTGCTCATGCTCCATCTATTTCTCGCTCAAAAATAAACATTTAGAAAATTTTTTAAGCCCTGGGCACTGAGTCCCTACTGAGCTTCCTTAGTAGACAGCATTTCACATGTGTTGTCACAACTCGTTGCCAGGGAGATTAAGTGCATCCTTGTGGAACTCCACTGGGAGAGGACTCTTAAAGGCTTGTGCTGGTCTCCCCTGCATTTCTTCCAGTGTGCTTTTTCCCTTTGCTGATTTTGCTTTGTGTCCTCTCACTGTAGTAAATTCCAGCCAAGAGTATGATTATATACTGAGTTCTGTGAGTCCTCCAGCTGAGAAGTGGGAGGTGGTCTGGGGGGCCCTGGCCTAGCAGCACCCTTGCAGACCTGTTGTTAAACGATTGTTCAGCGCTTGTTCAAAGGAAAGAGTGAGCATAATGAGGAACCAGGGCAGGGAAAGGGGCTCTCTGCTGGTATTGCTGACTCTCCTCTCCTTCTCAGCAGTCAGCTATGGCGCTAAACTGGTATTCTCCCCTCTACTAAATGACAGCCCTCCAGGGGCCTACAGGGAACTCTGTGAGCCCTGGGGAACAATGGAAGGGTTTTACGCTAAGGACTGTCATGATTGGATTTGCATTTTGGAGAGAATAAA